TTATTTGACAGACTGTTGTGTTGTTTTAACACAACTTACACACTGTTAAATAATCCTCTGCCAGGTAGCAATTTGATTAGTCAGCACAAGTAACGTTAGCCAAAATATACCTCCTTGTACATCAGTAACATGACAGATTGTCACAGATTCTGGTCAAAGTACTTTGCAAAGGGAACATAAACAATACCTGTTAACTCCGGAAGTGTTTAGTACATGCAGCAGCTGTTTTTGTTTCGGTGCAGAAACATCGAGCAGCACATTACACGTTGTCGTCTTTTCTGTTTAGTTGTAAACAATCCCGTTTTTTAAAATTTCTGTTGTTTTCTGAGTGCTTTGTTTTGGCGCTCTTCATCTCCTTCTATAGCTAAATATAGTGCTTAGCTTACCGTTAGGAGAAGTGCTAATGTCGTAGCATTGTGTAACACAAATAACATTCCGGCTGGACAAAAGTGCACTAATTATAAAGTTGTCTATTTTTTACGAAGCTTCGAGGCAGATGATTTGCCTCGAGGATTTTTAGATATCAAATTACTCTAATTATTATTGCCTCTTTTTATGTCGCACAAATTAAAATCTGGACAGTCGTGTCTTTTTAGGGTTTTAAGTTTGAAAATAATTTGTCTGACATGGTTGTATCTGCGCTGCTGCATACTCTTAGCCAGTCTTCATGCCGATAAAGTTTGTGTATATTTGTATTATGAGGAGCTCGCTTGTCTCAAGAAATTGAAATTAAAAATCAACAAAAGTTTAAATTCAAAAGGAGACTAATGAAACACATGTCTGGATGGTTCCGTCCCACCTGAACTCTAACTCAAGTTTTCTCTTTAAGGTTAAGAGGCGTGACAAACTGGGGTGTCTCTGCCCCCCCCCCCCCCCCTCTGTTTGTCTTCTGAAAAAGCCTCGAATGTTTATGTCCCAGTTTTCATAGCAATCTTGTAGAAATTTGGCGCATCACCTCACGTCGTGACTAGCATATCGTCATAATTTTCAATAGTGTCACCACGTTTTAAAACCACTGTATACCAAAATACTGTCATACAGTCCAAGCCTAACTAGTACGTTCAATTTCTTCTCTTTTACCCCAAAGTTCTGAGTCTGTAAATAAAGACTCAGTGAATTAGATATTTATTTAGTTCTGTTTTTAAAAGAAAAACATACATGTAATTTGACGCTGCATTGAGGGATCTTAGTCATGCTGTGGCTGTGGGAGAATCAGTGCCATGTGCCTGAAAAAGGAGAATCCTAGCAGACAAGATGATGGGATATTTTCAGGCTATGTGTGCTCTTGTTGTTCATCCATGGATCAGATCCAGCAGAGAGTCACGACACWCACGGGAAGCCAGTTTGTGTGTGTGTTCAGGTGAGAAAAACAACTTTTAATTGGACTTTTTGAAGGTGACCGGCTGGACAGCTGCCTGGATCGGACCCTACAGACAGAGGCTTTGAATTTTTGTTTTCGTAGGYGAAACAGAAGAAAATAGGGACTTGTAAAATCTGTTTTTGATTATTTTAAATGTAGTATATTTAGAGTTGTGCTTAAWCCAACAGACTGTTTCAAGATGATGTTTAGTGGAGCTGTGGTTCTGTTAAATAATCCAAGACAAGTGCAACAGCATCCTCTGCCACTCCAGCAAACATAAAGCAATGGATTAGAACAAATCTGTGGGTGTTTTATAATGGCTGTAAGCTTTGCTGAATTCTCCTAACTGAGATTATTTTCTGCATTAAGCATGTTTCTTGTCAGTGACTGAGACAATAGCAGAAAAGAGGATGTTTGCTTTACAAAATGGCAGAGGGCACACCTTTTTTTTAATTTGAGCTAAAACTAACAGCAGCTTTGAGTCCTGATCTGCACCCACAGCAAACAGGAAGGCGAAATGAGGTTGTTTCCAACATCTATCTAACATCCATCCAGCTCCGTTTTTAAAGTTTCTTTATTGTTTTTTTTTCCATAAATTATGCTAAGCCAAATGTTCGTGTCACGTAAAAGAAGAATAATGACCAATCAAGTCTAATAAACCGGGTCCCACCGCTCAGCGTTTTGTGTCCCATCGCAGCCGGAACCCTGACAGTCAGCACATAGTCGACACAGTGATGCTGGACATACAGCTAAAGTGCTCTATCGATTCTCCAGGCAATCCTCTAATTAGCTTTAGATGCTATGAGCTGAGGGCCACTGCTCATGCACTCTTGTAGCAGGAAGTTATTAGCACGGGGTTCCTACGCTGCCTCTCCTCAGGTGGCCATGTTGGAGGAGAAAKAACAGGCTGCCCTCTAATGTCTAAGTTTGATCCAACATGAACCGTTTTTAGACGAGACGATGATCTTCACATGTGTGTGAAGAAATTATATGGGAGATAATAGCATCAGGGATTTGAGATTGGTGCTGTAAATTTTTTATTTTTTGGAAATTTTAGAATTTTGTAACTTGCTTTTAATTATTAGCCAATTTAAAAACATACCAATTATCATTTTAATTTTTTGAAAGGGGAGTACCACAATCAAGTAACTATGCTACCTTAAGTTGTTATGAAAATGCTGTATCAAAAATAAAATTTGACTTTGCATCTAAACTCCTTCAAGTTGGCCTCCTACCGTTTCAGATATTTCCACTTCAGCTGCATAACAGTGCTTTATCCTGTTTACAACCTTCTGTAGGAGCGTTGTATTTTGTTGTAAAAAATAGTATCTGTTTTGGAAAATGTCAACTCAGGATACAGTTGCCTTACTCAGACAATCCCACGTCGGACGTGGAAAGTACRTTTCTTGCGAGTGCAGAGGCTCTTAGAAAACATTTCAGTTTGGTATTATACAATCCCAGCGTGGCTAATCGGGACGTTCTGGACTTCTCCCGGTGGGCCGGACTGATGTTTGGGCCGCAAGGGCCGGTATAACTTGCTAGTTATTGATCAGATCACTTCTACGCTTTCCATGTATTGCCGGACATTTATATGATACAATGACTTGCCATACCCCCAGGGCTGCCTCCGCCTCTAGTATTATATCTCTCAGTCATCCTCTCACACACACAGGGGTTAGACAATGAAACAAACAGCTGGTTTTAGACCACAGCATCCCTTTCAGACAGCTTCCTCTTGCGTCCACAGTTAATCCYGTTGGATGTGGTTGGTCCTTCTTGGTGGTATGCTGACATTACCCTGGATACCGTGGCTCTTGATACATCACAAAGTCTTGCTGTCTTGGTCACAGATGCACCAGCAAGACGTGCACCAACAATTTGTCCTATTTTGAACTCTGGTATGTCACCCATAATGTTGTTTGCATTGCAATATTTTGAGCAAAACTGTTGTCTTATCCTGTACAGTTCTTTCATTGTCTGATGCCTTGACTTTTCCGAATTGTGTTTTGTATAGTGGTATTAATTTATATTTTCAGATCTTCCAAGGTGCCAATTATGGAACTCTCTATGCATTGTTGCCCAAATCAAATTCTGGAAGTGGTCATTCAACTAGATCTGTTACAAAAGGACAACTGATATTACC